ATATATATATATATATATATATATATATATATATAAATAGAAAAGCAAAACTCAAGACATCTTTATTTTTGGTATTTCTTTTTTTTTTTTTGAGTCAGAGTCTCACTCTGTCTCCCAGACTGGAGTGCAGTGGCACGCTCATGGTCACTGCAGCGTCTACCTGCTGGGCTCAGGTGATCTTTCTGCCTCAGACTTCCAAGTAACTGGAGCAACAGGCACGAGCCACCATGCCCGGCTAATTTTTTTTTTTTTTTTTATTGAAGAGATGAGATCTCACCAAGTTGCCCAGGCTGGTCTCGAACCCATGAGTTCAAAGCAATCCTCTCACCTCAGGCTCCCAAAGTGCTGGGATTATAGGTGTGAGCCACTGAGTCCGGCCTATTTTTGGTAGTTCCAGGGTATAAAAATGTTTTAATTCAAATGAAATGTTTTCATCCTTCATTATGGCTTTAACTATGAAAAGAATCCCAGAAATTTAAAAAAGAGAATCATAAAACTGGACTTCTGATTTGGAAAAAGACCTGGGGGCAGGGGTGACTCAGGGGACAGAGACATGGTGGCTCCTTCCTCCGGGGGCCACTCAGCAAAGGGCCACACACACAGGTTCCCAGCACAGGTTTCTTGATATCATTGAAGAGAAACAGGGATTAATATTTATGCACACCAATTCTCAACTACTTATCTTAAAAGCTCTTAAAAGGACTGGAATTTTAAGGCAAAGACGTGTGGCTTGTCCAAACACCATTCCCTCACCTCCTCGAATAGTGATCTGAAACGTTAAAACTGTTGTGTGGATATTCTGGAGTTTTTTGTCCAAATCAGTCTTACATGAAGACTTCATCTGTGAATGGACGATGCTGGACTGTGTAGGAAGTGGAGGAGGGGACCTGAAACCCAGCCTCCTGTCCTAAGGCTGCTCCACCCCTATCTTGAACATGTACTAGCACTCCTTGGTGACTCCAAGGAACATTCTGAAATCTCTCTGTGTTAACCTACTCCTGCCTCCATAAGTTAAAGTACATCTCTCTCCTGAAGGAAACAGCCTCTGGCTCCTTTTGAAATCTCTGTGGTGTTTCCATGGGATACTGTATTAGTCTGTCAAAGAGCTTTTATCATGGCCAGGCCTGAAGTAAGTTCAATAAGACTCAGTTTGTGACTGTCAGACTGAGAAAACATGACTTGGACACAAGTCAGAAATGGCCACTTCCGATTACCTGGTCCGCTGGGGCTATCTGAGGTTAAGAAGGAGAAGACTTCAAGCCCAGGAGACCAGAGAAGGCCCACAGGACGAAGAAATCATTCCAAGACCAACAGTGAGAGTTGATTAACCACGTAACTACACGGCAGGGGCTGCAGGACCTCTGCACTCCCCATCTGTTTTTTGTTGTTGTTGTTGTTGTTTTTTTTTGAGTTGGAGTCTCACTTGGTCACCCAGACTGAAGTGCAGTGGTCGCTCCTGGTCACCACAGCCTCGACCTGCTGGGCTCCGGTGATCCTTCCGCCTCAGCCTTCCGAGTAGCCGGAATTACAGGTGCGCGCTACCACGCCCGGCTGATTTTTTGATTTATTGTAGAGATGAGGTCTCGCTGCCCAGGCGGGCCTCGAACGCGCGGGCTCAGGTTTTAACCTCACCACAATCCTAGGAGGTCGTTCCTGGTACTGACTCATTTTTGCAGGTGAGAGAAGTGAGGCTTGGAGTAAATAAGCAACTTTTCAGAGCTGGTCCGTTGCAGGGCCAGTGCTCAACCCCAGGCAGTCTAACCCAAACCTGTGCTGTCAGTCATCATAGTGGCCATGGGAAAGGGGATAAGAGGGAGAAGAAAAGGCATTTTCTCACCCGTGAAGATGGCAAATAGCATTGTTGAAAGTCATTAATTCAGAGCTCCTGGTCACATGACTGACTCCCTAAGTGTGCATTCCAGAGTGAGACTGCAGTGAGTCTGCTGGAAGCCAGAGGCCAATGACTAGGTATCAGCATGGCTTAATGAGCTTCATTCATTTTGCAAAGTCAGACTGGGCTTGTAGGCCACTGGCTGAAGCAGAGCCAGGACAAATCAGCTGAACCATAGTAGTGTCCTGTCAAGCAGGTGTTTTGGGCAGGAGACCCAGCCTAGCCTGCCTTCTCCACTTGAGTAGATCACTGGAAGGAGCTGGACTGAGCCCCGCTGCTGCCTTCTCTGCCCTAGGGAGTCTGGAAGCTTCATGTGATGCTTGGATACTGCCCATTCCAGGAAAAGGGGGAGACAATGGGGAAAAGTTCCTTTCTGCTTCAACATTTCCCTGATCCTGACAGCCTCTGTCCTTCTCCAAGATCCCAGGAGCCTGACATGCTGTCCTGTGCTTGGGCTCTTTTTTCCCAACACCCAACTGTCTCTTTGGACCTCCTCTTCAAGGGGCTTATTGACTTACACGTGAGCAAGAAACTATGTTAAAACAGGCCAGGCTCGTTGACTCAGCCTGTAATCCCAGCACTTTGGGAGGCTGAGGTGAGAGAATTGCCTGTGGTTTCGAGACCAGCCTGGGCAACTTGGCGAGACTTCATCTCTACAATAATTCAAAAATTAGCCAGGCGTAGTAGTGCATGCCTGTAGTTCTGGCTTCTTGGAAAGGTGAGGTGGAAGAATCGCTGGAGCCAAATAGGTCGATGCTGGGGTGGCCATGAGTGTGCCACTGCACCCCAGCCTGGACGATAGAGTGAGATTCCAACTCAAAAAAACAAACAAACAAAATAAAAGTTTCAGTAGCAGATAGTAGTCCTAATTATGTTTCTTTTTTCTTTTAAATAGGAGGCAATGCCTTAACCTACAGGAATAAATCCCCAGTGGTGGAACACACGCACTGACAGAGTGTCAGTTAGAAAGGAGATATTTGAGTAGAATGGGGTTTTCTGATGCCTCTGAAGTCATATCAAACTTCCTGGGATCCCAGTTAAAATGGATGGAAGAGATAAATATCTGTTGGGATGCTCTGGGATCTTCCTTCCTTTGTCTGAATCTCAGAAGGGGCTCAAAGGCTGCATAAGTCCGCAATAGTGAGGACTCACTGTCTTTGGAAATGGCTGCCTATCACTTATTAGCAGAGTTTGCTGAGGAGCTGGGACAAAGAACCTGGACAGAGAAAAAGCAAAAAAAAATCTGCATCTGAGAGAGGAAGTGATAAATACAGATGACTGGGAAGAAATGAGGGATGAGAGCCCAGTGCTGGGGATGTGGGAACTGAGGGACTGTCTTTGCATTTTGAGGCCATTGGATAACACGTGTTTAAGTTTCATAGTGGGGAGCAGTTTTCAATTCTATGCATGTAGGACAAAAGCAGCAGAAATATTGGGAAGAAATTTCTCATGGCTTAATCATCTCATTGAGGATTTACAAACATGAAAGTGTAAGTCCATGTGAACTGAATAGGTACTCTTCCTGTGTCTTCACTGTTACACCAGGAGCTTGGAAAAGAATGCTGTTCCATTTTTTTTATGTGAAGAAATTGATGAGGTTAAGTGATGGAAAAATTCAGTGAGTTTTACCAGTAAGTCAGGAACAGGGTTAGAAGTAGAACCCAAGTTTCCAGATTTCTACATGGCTCCTGTGTCAGGATGTCATTGAGGGACTGCTGGCATGGCTGGCGAGGTACAACTCATTCCCTATACATGCCTTGGGCACAACCTACCTCCTAACTGTTCCCTGGAAGAGAGGGCAGAACATTTGATTTATAGCACATCTTTGGTGCCCAGGACAGAGGCTGGTGCCCTGCCAGAGTCCAGTAAGTTTTTGATGTATACATGAGAGAATGTGGCAGTTTTGGAAAGTTGTTACTGTAGCATTTAGTCTCCTGCATTTGAATTTTCATTTTCTTAGCTTCTAGCAATGATGTAAATTTTTGAGCCTCCTTTTTCACATAAGAATAGAAACTCTTTTACCAGGAGTTGTGAGGATTGAGTGAGATGAAAGATGAAGTCACAGCGCTGTGAATGCCCCTGCCCTCCAGCCCGAGGCTGGCCACCTGTGCCAGACAGAGTGAGAAGCCTGTCTTACCTGCTGAGACCGTTTTCTGCGCGATCAAGATCCTTGTCCGTGGTCTTTACTGCGAGGTGGGTCAGGGAGGGATGGGAGTATTGGGTGTTGATTTTGGCCATCTTCCTGTTGGTCACATTTAGCCCCCAAGGTGATTGCTAAAATGTGAGCACAAGGCAGATACGTTGTCAGAACAGAGGAGTTAACTGCAAGCCCAGCCTGTCATGAACAGGGGCTACTCCATGTGGCCTCCCAGGCAAGTCCTGGCAGGAGCGCCCTCCACCGTCTCGTAGTTCCTGCCACATTGTGGTTTTAGTTAGACGTCTCTGGGCTCTTCTTTCAAGCCCGAGGCACAAACAAGGTCTTTTACTCTTTTGCTTATGCTGCTGTGCTGAAGTGCTGAATGAGCAAATGAATGAATTAGTGAATGGTCAAATAGGTGTCAGATGTAAGGAAACCAAAACCCCTGTGATTCTTTGGGATGATATAATGTCACCCTTGACCTTGATATTTTTCTCATTTTCTTATTTTTATCTTATAATTTGGCACACATTTTCATAGCTGCCCCAGATCCTGCTTTGAAACAAACAAACAAAAACAACTAACAATATTTGACATTCAGAAAACCTTTCGATGGGATGCTAAACCCAATACACATTTCAGCTCATTTAATCCTTCACAGGAAACTTGTGAGGTATTAATGAGTTTGATTTCCATTTAAAGATGAATAAACCGAGACTCAGAGATGCTAAGTAGCTTGTCCGTTCAAAAGATAGCTAACATCTGTCAATGTGGCATGACCCTTGTGTCAGAAGGCAGGCCAATGAACATTTTCCAAAGTGTTGGAAGGTTCTCCTATGAATGAAGAGAAAGGAAGCTTATGTAAGGGCAGAGCTGGTGTGATCGGCCAGTTCCATGATTTCTGGACAACTCTTTCAGCTGGGCCACACATTCCCGAAGTTCCTCCACAATAGACTAACATGGGCTCCCTGGGGCAGCCACGTGGCTTCACTGTGTCAGATATCAGTAGAGACCACTCCAGAGAAAGGCAGCAATTTCTAGAAATAGCCCAGTGACTCACTCCGGGATTAATTCCATATGCCAAGGAAGGTCAGGGCAAGGCGCCCAGGACACTGCACTGAAGCAGCCACCATGGGTGTAGGCCCCGCTTGGCAAGGCCAACTGACTGCCAATTACTCTGTTGCAGGAACATAGAGAGGCCGTGACACTGAGGCTATTTTAGGAAGTAGCAGTTTTATTAGTGCCAGCACGACTCAGAGCTAATGCTCCCAGGCTGAACACCCCAGGGAGGGAGGAGAGGGGTCTTATATCTTAGTTTAGGTAAGGGAGGGGGCCGGGTTGTGTGACTATACATTTTCTTTGGAATTTATAAGGTTGTACTTAGCAAAACCAGATTTTCAAAGAAAAAATGGTCTCCAGGATATGCATAACAAGCAGGGGTTGTAAACCCATAACTTCACAAAGAGAGGATTTGGGTTAAGGTTGTGAATTGGTTACTATCTTGCATGTCCAGGAAAGCCATCTTTGGCTACTTGGTTTTCTCAAGCAATACCTGTCTAGCAGGTTTTCAGAGCTTGCAGATTGATTTTTAAAAGGAATACTTTTAACTGTTATCAGCCTCTCTCTGCCACAACTCGAGGACAGCAGCCGCTCGGGAGATCCTGCCTCATTTTTGATGTTTGATAGTTGAAGTTTATGAGTTTAAATTTTCTAGTTTTCTCCATAGATCAAAAGGTGTTTTGATTTTTAAATGCTTTGTTCATTTATGTGACAATGAGTGAGTTTCTGGTGGATGGCAAGACATATAAAGAGAAAAAGACAAGTCCTGTTCTCAAGGGTCTGACAGTCTTGCAGGGCAGGTGATGCAACAGGACACTACGTGTTGCACCAAGGAGCTTAGACTTTACCTTGAAACCCCGGAAGGATGTGGTCAGATATGTCGAGGCCACTCTGGCTGCATTGGGGAGGGTGTATTCGGGGAGCATGGGTGGGTGTGGGATGAGCAGATGAAAGAGTGCTGCAGAATCTCAGGGGAGAGAGAACAGCTGCCTTAACTGGCTTTGTGGTGTGAATCAGATCAATTAAAAAAAATACCAAGTGGGTGGAATTGCCAGAACATAGCAATTGATTGGGTATAAGGGGGATGTTGAGGAGGGAGGTACTCAGCACAATGCCCTGGCAGCTGGCTTGGGGGTGGTAATGCTGCCTACCCGCCAAGGCAGCGGCTCGGAGAGGAGCAGGTTTGGGACAGAGAATGAGTCTAGTTTGAGATGCCTGCAAAACTTTAGAGCCAACGTATGAAAGAGCACTCTTCCACTAAAAGCAATAAACCCCATTTGAAATCACCCACTGCGCACTTTTTTTTTTTTTTTTTTGAGTAGGCGTCTCACTCTGTCTCCCAGGCTGGAGTGCAGTGGCACGTACTGGGCCACCGCAGCCTTTACCTGCTGGGCTCAGGCGATCCTTCCACCTCAGCCTTCCAAGTAGCTGGAATTATTAGCCACCATGCCTGGCTAATTTTTTGATTTATTATAGAGATGGGAGTCTCACCAAGTTGCCCAGGCTGGTCTCAAACCCGTGGGCTCAGGCAGTTCTCTCACCTCAGCCTCCCAAAGTGCTGGGAGTATAGGTGTAAGCCACCGTGCCCGGCCTTCAGCACTTTTTTATTAAGCTCTTCCTATGTGCCAATAGGCTAGTAGCTGGGGATTTATCAGAGAACAACATGTGGCTCTGCCCTCAAGGAGTTTAAAGTCTAGAGAGATCCAGGGCAAATCCTAAAGAAAATTTGAGACTCTGTGGAAAAGCTATCAAATGATTCTTTGCATATTTCCAGGGAAATTGCACCCAGTACAGTACGTTGCCTCTAGTCCATGCCCCTCCCCTCAGTACCCTTCTCTGCATCCTTTGCCCTGCGCACAAATGCAGGTCTCAATGCCATTGCATGGAAGCACACTTCTGTCCCCCCAAAGACCTGCCTCCTGTTGAGGGCCACTAGATTTAAGATGACACAGAAGATCATTTTATTCCAATTGCTTCATGTCCTGAATGGTTGTCTTTTTAAAAACTTTCCTTAAAAAATCAGGATCCAAATAAGGTGCATATGTTTTGACCGGTTGATATATATATCATTGGTCTTTTTTTAGTGTAAAGTTCTCTATGCATTTCTATTTTTTCTTTTTGTGGCAGAAACTTAATTGTTTGTCCTAGAGAGTTTCCTACAATATGGCGTTTCACTGATTTCAACTGTAAAATGTTCCCTGTATACTGGTAGTCATGCCCAGAAGCTTGGTCAAATTTGGGTTCAGTTTTTGCTTTTTGGCAAGACTATTTCATAGGGAGTAGTGTGTTCTTCCATTAGAAGGCCTATACTATCTGATTATATTTCCCTAGGTGATATTCGCATTGCTGATGATAGTTAACTAGATCCATCAATTCATTAGAGACTGCAAATTATCAGTGGTGCAGTTCATAACAGGAAAAGCAGAATAAACACTTATTTCTTTCTCTTTGCTCGCCAGTTTTTGAGTTATGACATCCTAAGAGATTGCCCAAGCCGCCCTGAATGTTTTCACATCTCCTGGTCCTAATAAAGTGTGGGAAACGCAAATGAGAACACAAAACCACTGTCAGTGATCCTGAGACTCTGTTGAAAATGAGAATGGCCATGTAGCCAGGGTCCCTGAGTGCGAGACACTTCCATGTCCACTACTTGTTAATCCTCTGGAAACTCAAGAGGGGTTAGTGATGCTGATTTTACAGATGAGGAAATGGAGCATTGGGTCTGTTTGACTCTGAAGTCCATGTTGTGGTCCGTTTTGTTTGTCACACCCATTGCAGGAGATTAGAAATGCACACATATAATTTTAATTTTCAAAAACAGCATGAAGATGTATTCTGCCAATGATGAAGATGACCTTGAAACAGATCTCAGGTGGGAGTCTTAGAGAGGTGTGTGAGCATATCCCAAATGAATGTGTGTTTTCTAGGACTTGACTGGGGAACTAAGAACACATCATTTTGGACAATTTCTACCTTCTCTTTTTTTTTTTTTTCTTTAGAAACAAGGTCTTGCTCTCTCTTCCAGTCTGGAATCGCAGTGGGATGATAATACTCCCTGCAGCCTCAAACTCCTGGGCTTGTTATCCTCCCACCTCAGCCTCCCAAGTAGGTGGAATTATAGGTGTGTGCCGCCATGCCTGTCTAATGTTTTTGCTTTTTGTGGAGACAGGGTCTCACTATGTTGCCCAGGCTGGTCTCGAACTCCTGGCCTCAAGCAATCCTCCTGCTTGGCATCCCAAAGTGCTGGTATTACAGGCATGAGCCACCGTGCCCAGACTGCATTATTTTTACAATATAACTCAATCCAACATGTTCCCCCAACACTCTCCTTTACTGACTCCTTGCCAGTAATATCCCAGACACTGTACCTGGACCTGAGGATTATGATGATGAAGAAGACAGTTCTCTGCTTCTGACAGCACAAAATTGCATTAAGGAAATGTGAAAGACAATAGATGATTTATTTTCATAAAATGGAAAGAAGTCTACTAACGTGACCAAGAGCACATACTAGGAAGCAGACATGACCAAAGTTTTGTTAAAAAGAGAGAAGTGGCCGGGCTCGGTGGCTCAGCCTGTAATCCCAGCACTTTGGGCGGCCAAGGCAAGTGGATTGCCTGAGCCTGCGGGTTAGAGACCAGCCTGGGCAACTTGATGAAAACTCGTTTCTACGACAATTCAAAGATTAGCTGGGCACGGTAGTGCACGCCTGTAGTTCCAGCTACTTGGATCAACGCTGGGGAGACCGTGAGTATCTTGGTGTCGCCAGCACTCCAGGCTGTGCAACAGAGTGAGACTCCAACTCGAAAAAAAAAAAAATGGGGGATGTGATGACAGTCATGTTGTCTTAGGGAAATGAAACTTTTTACTTAAACATAAAGAAGCTGAAGCTGAAACCCTCCAATAATAAGCAACAAATACTCATTGTAACCTTATTTGGACCCAAAACTGCTTAGGCTACATCCAGGAGAGATTGTAACCCTGTAATTCTTGATCAATGAGAAACTGGGGGAGGGACCCGCACAGGAGGAGTAGCTTGCTTGCTGTAACTGTTCTGGGTATGCCTGACCACCAGACA